CTATTTCGCCTACATCGATAAGGACAGAATTACTCCGCCTGAAACCTTTCAAGTCATCTACTGCTGATATGGCTCATCCACTTTCCCTTCGAGAATTGACCGACTTACTGTATGGACCGGAGTCCATGATACACAGAAGTCAATGAAGGAGAGTGAAATGCCGCGGGAATAAAACGCTGCTCTTATCTCCCCAATCTATAAAAAAGAAGAGTCCAGGCTGGGATCGCAAAATTACCGTCCAATTACTTTAATCTGCATTTTGTGCAAAGTTATGGAACGACTTACTAACAGACAGTTAATGACCTCTTTGCAGCAGAGGACCATATTATGTGTTGTCCAGTATGACTTTCGCTGCGGACACTTATATCTTAGAAGTGGTTTTTACTCGCAGGAAAAATGGACAGAAAAACCACAGACCAGGGTCATCCAGCTGATGTCATTTTTTTCGACCTTGCGTACCTCATCAGCGACTCTTACATATGGCAACGTTTCCAACATGGCTCAGCAGTTTCCTGTCATGCAGACTGCAAAAAGTAATCGTTGGTACCACAGAATACGAATAGGTACCAGTAGAAAGTGATGTTGCGCAGAGCTCAGTTTTCGGGCCTCTTCTGTCCCTCTATATAAACGACTACATTTAGAACCTGGACTGTGTGATACCATCATGTCTGCAGATGACATCAAAATTAGGAAAACCATTAGCTCTCCTGACGACGCACAGAAACTACAATAAAACCCCAATAAACTGGCTTTATGGTCCAACAACTGGCTCCTGCCGTTTAATATCCCCAGATGTGTAGTAGCCCTACGCTTGAAATCTGGGCGGAGACGTTTCTCCAAACGCCAGTATTATATGAGCGGGACTCCACCAAAAGTACTGGACACGCACAAAGACCTAGATATTTGGACAGCTTTAAAGTTACTACCTTCTGGACATCCTAAAAAGCCGTCCAAAAGGTGACAAGCATCATGCACTGAAGCAGACGTGCTTTCATAGTGTTTACGATGGAAGTTTTTGCACGGATCTCAAGTACATTCATGAGACCGCACTTGGAATACGAATACGGACGCCGTGGGTGAAGAAAGACCGTGTTCTCATTGAGCAGGTGCAACGACGGACAACAAAACTGATGACGGTCTTAGGATTTTCTCTTATCTTTTATTTGTTTCCCCTATCCTATAGGCAAATGAGCTGCGACCCACCATGGACATTCCGCATTATTCACAGACGGTCAAATTATCATTCTTATCTGCTTATTCGATTGTTTTAAACTACTCAGACGAGAGTATATGCCACGAGCCAAAGGCGGTGTAGAGTCCTATGACGATTGCGAAATACAACGCTCTCGAAAGTTAATTTTAAAAAGCTGAACTGAGGCCTAATGATTTACTCATTAGTGGTGTGTTTAAACTAAATGCTGCTTCCCTGCAAAGCACCGTTCCCTTTTACTGTAAAATCAATGGGCTCTTAGAAGTTACAACCAGCCTTCGTCAAGTGACTTTGCACATTACAGCAAATTAAATGAGCGTTGTTTTGATTATAGGCAAATTATTTGTGCATCTCGCTGTTAGTGTGCCCATCAACAAAATTTCTGCCACGCATGCAAAGAAGCTCTGCGATGGAAAGGAAAATTAAGAGGCCAGTGTTCACGAATGGTCGAGACGATCTGAAATTTGAACCGGATCCAGTCAACCGTTGGGAGTAATACTCCGCCAGCTAATTTGCAGGCTCACGCCCTGTCGGTCGTAATTGTAAAATATGGAAAATCGAGCGGGAATGACGATCGTCGGTCTGGCCTGAATGTAGGGCTACAGAAGGTATGTCAGCTTTTTCTTCGAGAGCATAAAAAGCCCAAATAACGAACTGGTTCCCAAGATAACTCAGGTAGGCTTGAGGGAAAGAAAACCCTAAGGTTTCAATCCATT